TGTTGTTTCATTTATGAACTTCTCGCTCTTCCTACTCCTTGGACCCTACACACTCTGTCTCACAATTCATTCCAGGCTAGTTGAAGAGCAGTGCTGGACAAATGATGGAGCTAGTATTTCCGTTCGTATATCCTGACATTGAGTCATTTGTTCAGCAAGCATTTTATTGAGCACCCATTCATTCTACCATATACCATATTAAGGTTAGAAAGACATGAAAGTTTGCAAATAATCTTAAAGTATAAACCAAACCAAACAAACAACTCAAATCTCTAGGAATTGAAATGTATCCTTCTCTGTAAGGTCTTTTCTGATTCTCCCAAGTAAATTTAGTCACTGTTTCCTTAGAGCACCCAGAACAATCTGTTCAACTTATAAAATCACAACCCTGCCTGTCTCCCACACTTGACTACTTTGGAGCTCCTTTGGGTGAGTTTTTCTTTCACTGTGGCCAGGTTATGACTAGTACAATTCTGCTTTGGAGGATTTTTGTTGAGTTTTGCAGGGTGGGGTTATGGTGTGACCTGATTGATGCATTCAGTCAGTCCCCCAATAAATAACTACTAATATACTCTATGCTATGTGCTAAGCTAGATAGTTCATAATAAATCAAAATCATAAATAAGACAGCAGACAAGGGCAAACCAACAGGTCCTAGAACTCCTGGGAACTCATGTGAGCACTTGAAAAGAATGTGTTTTTTGTAAAAAAATCAAACTTTTGAACCTTACTTTCAGTTTTGACTTTACATGTCATCTTCTGTGACTACATGTATTTTAGGGATATTTCACATGTCATAGCTTGGTGGTAGTATACAAAAGTCTTCTACTGTAATTGCATTTCTATTCATTTTCTTCTATTTTTGCTTCACATTTTGCCAACAGAATAAGATGGCAAAATTAAAAATAAAAGAATGGACAAAGGTAAATCAAGGAACTACAAATCAAAAGAAAGAAGCAATATTAATAGATAATATCATCCTCAAGGCAAAACAAAAACACTAAGGAGAACAAAAGAATATTTTATACTGATAGAAGTTATAAGCTATGAATTAGGTACTTCATAACATAACATAAAAAATATAAAGTAAGCCCTGGCTGGTGTAGCTCAGTAGATTGAGCGCAGGCCTGCGAACCACATGATCGCGGTTTGATTCCCAATCAGGGCACATGCCTGGGTTGCAGGCCAGTTCCCAGCAGGGGACTCATGAGAGGCAACCATACATAGATATTTCTCTCCTTCTCTCCTTCCCTTCCCCTCTAAAGAAGATAAATAAATAAAAACTTTAAAAAAAAAAATATATATATATATATATATATATATATATATATATATATATATATATATATATATAAAGGAGCCCTGGCTGGTGTGACTCAGTGGATTGAGTGCTGGCCTGTGAACCAAAAGGTTGTCAGTTCGATTCCTGGTTAGGGCACATGCCAGGGTTGCAGGCCAGGCCCCAAGTTGGAGGCCGTGCAAGAGGCAACCGATCAATGTATTTCTCACACATTGGTGTTTATCTCTCTCTCTTTCTCCCTCCCTCCCCCCGTCTCTTAACAAAGAAATAAAATCTTTAAAATATATATATATAAATTTATTATAAATTAAGAATAAATTTTTCAAGGGGAGGATCTGCAGTCAGGAAAGAAGATAATTGTTGTGGGCAAAGGGAAGTTTATGTGTCCCAGGAAGATTCCTGCTGGAAAGCCCAGTCACGTAGAATGTAGTTCCCAAAATAGCAACAGGCTTGTTGGCATGTCCCGCAATTGTGGAACCATCCTGGATGTTTAGACATAAAGAAACGATAATAGGGCTGCCTGCTGTGTTGTGATCATTCTAGGCCAGAACAGTAGGTTAAAGATTTGAATCCAGGCTGTCTGGATACAGAACGTAGGCTTTTTCCAGGGCACCACACTGCCTTCTGGTAGTAGTAACAGGTCAGTGTCCCCAGGAACCCATGTCATGTGCCTCTCAGAGGAGACTAGCTGGTGTTTTAAACATGAAGTTTCTGAAGTTGCATTAATTATGAATATCTTCTTGTGGGGTCTTCAGGGAACTAAGGACTAGACTTTGTACTGATGTATTTGAGGTTGTCATCTCTCTTTCTCTTCCTCTTTCTGCATTCTCTGTGCCTAGAACAGTAGGGCATATTCAATTCATGAAATTCAATTCTAGTACTCATCAATGTGTACTTATTTATTTAATTGGATTTCCTATCTTGGAGAATGGCTCCATCATCTAGCCATCTGCCAAAGCCAGAATTCTTGGAATCTAGGACCTTTCCCTTTTTCTTTATCCCTTCCCATAAAATCCATGACCAAACCCCGTGGTTTTGTCCCCTGGCCCTCTCCATTCTGTCAGCCAGTGCCTTTGTTCAGGCCTCTTTGGCCACAGATTGCTGCAGTTCACCCACTGCTATCCATGCCTCTTGTCTCTTCCTCTCTGAGCTAGTCAGTATCAAACTAGTCAATATCACTCTCCTGCTGACAATCCTTAAGCATCTTCCTATATTTTCAGGATGAAGGTCCAAATTCTTTCTTACTGTTTTCAAGACCCTTCATGATTTATTCTCAAATCTAGTTTCCTGTCATTGCAAACCTGCTTAGCTCCAGCATTATTGAACCTGGTATATCATATTGAACTCTGCAACTCTGTGCCTCACTCATGCTGTTTCTTCAACCTAGAACATTCTTTTTTAAAAAGTATATTTTATTGATTATGCCATTACAGTTGTTCCATTCCCCACCTTCATTCCCCTCCACCCTGCACGCCCCTTCCCCACCCTCCCCCCTTTAGTTTATGTCCATGTGTCACAAGTTCTTTAGATTCTATATTTCCCATACTATTCTTGCCCTTCCCCCTGTCTATTTTCTACCTACCATCTATGCTATTTATTCTCTGTACCTTCTCCCCCCTTCTCCTCCTCCTCTCACTCCCCTGTTGCTAACCCTCCATGTGATCTTCATTTCTATGGTTCCCCTCCTGATCTAGCTGCCCTCTTAGATTGCCTTTCTTTTAGGTGCGGTGGTTAATAACTGAGTTCGCTGTCCTTTCACTGTTCCTATTTTTTATCTTCTTTTTCATAGATAAGTCCCTTTAACATTTCATATAATAAGGGCTTGGTGATGATGAACTCCTTGAATTTGATCTTATCTGAGAAGCACTTTATCTGCCCTTCCATTCTAAATGAAAGCTTTGCTGTATAGAGCAATCTTGGATGTAGGTCTTTGGATTTCATGACCTGGAATATTTCTTTCCAGCCCCTTCTTGCCTGTAAGGTCTCTTTTGGGATATCAGCTGACAGTCTGATAGGAACTCCTTTGTAGGTGACTGTCCCGTTATCTCTTGCTGCTTCTAGGATTCTCTCCTTCATTTTAATCTTGGTTAATGTAATTATGATGGGCCTTGGTGTGTTCCTCCTTGGGTCCAACTTCTTTGGGACTCTCTGAGCTTCCTGGATTTCCTGGAAGTCTATTTCCTTTGCCAGATTGGAGAAGTTCTCCTTTATTATTTGTTCAGATAACTTTTCCACTTGTTCCTCTTCCTCTTCCCCTTCTGGTACCCCTATAATTTAGATGTTGGAAGGTTTAAAGATGTCCTGGAGGTTCCTAAGCCTCTCCTCATTTTTTTGAATTCTGGTTTCTTCATTTTATGTTTGGTCATTTTTTTTCTTCCTTCTGGTCCACTCCCTTGATATGAGTCCCAGTTTCCTTTCCATCACTATTGGTTTTCTATGCATTTTGCTTCATTTCACTTAGTGTAGCCTTCATTTTTTCATTTAGTTTGCAACTAAAATCAACCAGTTCTGTGAGCATCCTGATCACCAGTGTTTTGAACTGTGCATCTGGTAGGTTGGCTATCTCTTGGTCACTTAGAAGTATTGGCTCTGGGACTTCGAGCTGTTCTTCCTGAGCCATAATGTTTTGGTCTACTTGCACCTGTAATGTATGAGGGGTGAAGCCTTAGGTGTTCACCAGAGTGGGGTGACCCAGTTGCTGGGTTTTGACACTGTATGTGGGGTCGGGGTCAGAGAGGGGCAGTGGTGTTTGTTCCACTCTCGGACTTCGGTCCCCTCTGCTGCCTCCCACAAGCAAACCAGGACCCCTGGTGCTGGGTCCTGGGTATGTGGGCCTGTGCACCCTCCAGGACCCTGTGAGTCTCTCCAACAAACTCTCTGGGAACCTGGGAGCTTCTTCTGGTACCTCAACCCTGAAAGTTTTTCCAATTGGTGCTTTTAGGCTTTAATTTCCATCGCTGGGGCCCTAGCTTGCGAGGTCTGTCTCGCTGCTCGCTCCTTGGCCTGGTTTATCTGAGTGTGAATGTGTAACCACAGTCAGCCAGCCGCCTTGCGCCCCCACTGAGTCTGCCCTTTGCTACCCCACACATGGGATCTGCCAACAGCTGCCTGCGCACCTAGGTCGGTCTGGCAACTTTTTCCTGCGCAACCCTTCTCCACCAGCTGCTGGCTCTGCCTTTCTTACCGGTCTGGCTGAATGGTTCATTATTTTTGGACTTTCATGCAGTTCAGTTTTCTGTGTTTTGGTTGCATTTTTATTGGTAAAACTTTGTTTTCTTTAAACTTGGTTGTGCAAGGAGGCACAGTATTTCCACCTATGTCTCCATCCTGGCCAGAAGTTCAACCTAGAGCATTCTTTCCCAAGCCTTTTATGTCATTAATTTCTACATGCCCTTTGAAACTCAGCTCCTGATGACCTTTTTTTTTTTTTAGGATGCTCTTCCTCACTCTTCCACTAGTAGGCCTCTTTTGTGCTCTTCTAGCACCTTGTATGCTCTTTCTTGTTATTTAATACACTGTCCTGTCATTGTTGGTGTACATTCCTGTCTCGTCTACTATCTAGACTGCAAGTAACCAAAGGCAGAGATTCTTTTACTTTATTCCATGGGAATCACCAAAACTGAGCATAGGATTTGGCCTATGATAGTGTCTTAACTTAAATGAGCTTTTATGACTTAATAATGATGTATTGATTTTCTAGGTACATGGTTCAATGGCCTGGTGGTCGAATCCTGCATCGCCATGAGCTAGACACCTTCCTTGCACAGGCAGTATCTTCCCAGCTTTATGAACCAAATCAACTTCAAGAACTCAAGGTAATTCAATCCATCCTCACTTAAATTATTCCATGAGCTCATAGCTTTTCTTTAGGTCTTTTTGTCTCTGGAGCTGGGGACAAAAGTAAGTTTTACAGGTAAATGTTTGATTTACTTTAGCCAGATATTATATTTGTTAAGAAAATCAACAGGTGCCTGTAACACTCCTTGGATACTGAGGAGTAAGAATGGACAGAAAAGATGGATATTATGCAAGACAAATAAGTTGTGGCCCACAGACCATGGTAAAGTTTCTGACTCTTCAAGGTACACTCAGAGACTTAGCCTGGTATCCCCTGTAGGAGGCACTTCTTCAAGAGTACCCCTAGTGCCACAGACACGAGTGAATGAGTAAATATGGCCGAGAGATGCTAAGATTTGCTTAGGGGATGAGAAGTGGGCCGTGGCCAGTTTATCAGGGGAGACAAAGGCCAGCAGAGGCCAGTTTCTCTGAGGAGAAAAAGGCCCTGAGTGCCTTCCTCCATAGCCTTTTATTGGGTTGTAAATACTCAGGAATACAGGGCAGCAAGGATCAAACAGTAGATAATACTTCAAAGATATCCGAGGGCTTCAGAGTCTGAGTCAGTATCTGTCAGGAAGAGAGTTGCAGAAACTTTGGGAGACATACTCATTTCCTATCAGACCCTTATCATATGAATGAAAGCACTCTTAGCAGAGCAGATTTCACAGGTTTATCAGCAAGTCTTTGTGATGCCAGATTTTCCCCAGGACACGCTCTAGCAAGGCAAGGAGCTGCGCCTCTCCCCAACAGGTATTCAGGCTTAAGATTAGAGCCAGGAAGCGCTTCTCCCAGAGAACCCGGGGACTCAGGATTTGTCAAAGCCGTGGGGTGAGAGTCCATTGCTCTTTGTTGCAGCCCCCCGAGTCCTTCCATGAAGGCCTCCCAAGTGATCGAGTCTGGCTTAGGTTGCCCCCGGCTGTGAGGGGTCTTACCCGTCATTGACTTCCGACCAAGTTTTGGGGACAGGGAGAGGAACTGAGGGAGTGTTTGCTACCAGAGACAGGCTTTGTCTCCTGCGGCTTGCATTCCAAAGGTCGTTTCTGGCCCTTAGCCTCAAGGGCTAGAGATAAAATTCCTAAAACCAGGCAGAGCGGTCTACTACAATCCCCTTTTTGTCTCTGAGTAAATTTCTATGCTCCCCCCCTTTTTTCCAGTTTTACTGAGATATAATTGACATTATAGCACTGTATAAGTTTAGATTGTACAACATAATGATACATATATCATTCGATGATTACCACAGTAAATTTAGTTACCATCTGTCTTCTCATATAGAAACTATATATACAGGGGTGGACAAAAGGTTTACAGTTGTTCATATAGAAAATAATACAAGTTCCAGCTAACATGGAGGCATAGGTAGAAACCCTTCTCTTCTTCACACAACTAAAAGGAGGATAGCAACCAACCTTAAAATCAATAAACACCCAGAACTTCCAGAAAATCAAACTGCATAGAACCCTGACATCCAAGGAATTAAAGGAACAGTCAAGCAGAACAACCAGACTGGTAAGGCAGCAGATGGAAATCTCAGTAAGGCAGCGAACTATGGGTATGGGGCTGACTTAAGGCGAAACTGAGACTCCAAGGTGGCTGTGGACTATGGCAGTTGCTGAGGTGGGAGGAACTCCCTTTCACACATGAGAGTACGTTGGAAAGTGGGGCTAGAGCCAAGCAGGCGAACCCCACTGTTCCCTCTCTGGCCCCACCCCCTTATAACTTATCAGGTACACCAAGACAAAGGAAATATAGCCCAAATGAAAGAACAGAGGAAAGCCTCAGAAAGAGAGTTAACTGGTGAGGATACAGCCAACCTGCTTGATAGAGAATTTAATGCCCTGGTAATTGAAATGCTCACAGAACTGATTGAGCTTAGTCAAAAATGAAAGAACAGACTTCCAGCCAAGATGGAGGCGTAGGTGGAAATACTGTACCTCCTAGCAAAACCAAGTTTAAGGACAACAAAGATTTAGAAACAAAAAGTACAACCAAAACAGACATAAAATTGAACTGTACTGAAGTCCAAAACAACAAACCATTTATCCAGACCAGTAAGAGGGGCAGAGTTGGCAATCAGCATAGAGGGATCCTGGCAGAAAAGGGGGTGGTTAGCAGACCTGGGTGGGCACGGGGACAAAAAGAACAAACCCAGTAAAGCTTGCAAGGTGACTGAATGACCACAAACACACATTCGCATGCAGATAAACCAGGCAAAAAAAATGGACAGTGAGGCAGACCATGCAACCCAGGTCCCCAGTGACAGGAATTAAAGCCTAAAAGCACCAGTTAGAAAAACTTTCAGGTGTTGAGGTCCCAGGAGAGGCTCCCAGCTTCACAAAGGAGTTTGTTGCAGAGACCCACAGGGTCCTAGAATGTACACAAGCCCACCCACCCAGGAACCAGCACTGGGGGGGGGGGCCCAGTTTGCTTGTGGGAAGCAGCAGAGGGGACCAAAATTCAAGAGAGCATGGAACAAACACCATTGCTCCCTCTCTGACTCCGGCCTCAGTCACAGCCCAGCGATTGGGTTGACCCGCCCTGGTGAACACCTAAGCCTCTGCCTTTCATACGTAACAGGCATGAACAGACCAAAACATTATGGTTCAAGCAGAAGAACAGCTCAAAGCCCCAGAGCCAGTACTTCTAAGGCACAAAGAGATAGCCAACCTATCAGAGGCACAGTTCAAAACACTGGAGATTAGGATACTCACAGAACTGGTTGATTTTAGTCACAAAGTACCTAAGAAAAGGGAGATCAAGTATATGAACAATAAAATGACCACAAACTCACAAGTGCCAAACAAATGAACCTAAAAAATTTAAACAAAAAACAATGAAAGCAAAAACTAAGCAGTCAACTACAATAGGAACAGAATCAGAGAAATGGACATCACATGGTTGGTTTTCAGTGGGAAAGGTGAGGGGAGGAATGGGGAGGAAGGTACAGGGAAGAAGCAGCATAATTGGTAGGCATTAAATAGACGGAGAGATCAAAAATGGTATAGGAAACAGAGAACTCAAAGAATTTATATGTAAAACCCATGGACATGAACTGAGGTGGAGAATGGTATAGGGTGGAGGAGGGATAAATGGGGAAAAATTGGGAAAACTAATTTTCCCAATTTTCAATTGATTTACATAATCAATAAAATGTACTTTAAGAAGAAAATAATATAATAATTAATAAATAATAAAAGAATAAATTGTTTTGCATACTCACAACTGTAAACCTACTTTTGCCTACCCTGTATTTTTTCCTTGTGATGAGAACTCTTAGGAAATACTTTCTTAACAACTTTCCTATCTATTGTACAGCAGGGTTAAGTCATCCTGTGGTACATTACATCCCTAATACTTACTTATGCTATAACTCAAAGTTTGTGCCTTTGGCCACTTTTATCTAAGTCCCTCTCCCTTCTGATAATGTCAAATGTGATCTTTTTTTCTATGAGTTTGGTTGGGGTTTTGGAGTTTTTTAGGTTCCACACATCAATGAGATCATACAGTATTTGCCCTTCTCTTAGTTATCTCACTTAGCATAAGGTCTCAAGGTCCATCCATATTTTTGCAAATAGCAGGATTTCCTTCTTTCTTGCGGCTGAATAATATTCCATTGTATACATACCACATCTTCTTTATCCATTCATTTGTTAATGGTCACCCTCCTTTTTAATAATACTTATTCAGTGTTAGAGGGAGGTCTAGAAAAGCATAGGAAAGAAAATATATTCACTCTATAACTGACAGTAGTAGAAGTAATAGGTTAGAGGGCAGTTTCTAAAGGCTGGCTTCTTAGCTATGTGACCTTGGGCAGGTTGTTTAACCTCTCTAGCTTTAATTTCCTTACTTGTAGCATTATGAGGATATTAAATAAAATGATAGGTACAAAACACTTAGAATGGTATCTCAGATACTCAATAAATTTTAGTGATTAATGCAGGATACCCTTCTCCCAACTTCAGTAGCCATGGACCTTTGAGGCCCTAGGATAAACTAGAAGAAAACCAAGTTCAACAAAACTTGCAAAATCTTCATTTAAGTGAGGTCACCTCTTAAGGGAAAGATGAAACAGGTAAAGACGAACAATGGTTTCTTGTTAGTATAAATGTAATATTGCTTTGTCCTATAGCAGTTACCAACTCTAGACCATACCTAGGAGGGGACCTGCAAGTATGTCCCCTTTCCTGTTAAAGCCATCTAGCATGCTACCTTGAGGTAACCCCTGTGAAAATTTTTATGGTTTCTTCCAGCCTTTCATCGTGTTGAGATATTGTTTATATATAATTATATATTGTTTTTTACTTAATATACCATATATTTTGTGTCTTAACAATTTTGAGTAAATGATATTTTATTATTCAGATGTATCATTTAATTACTATAATGTTGGCAATTTGGTTTCTGGTTTCCCCAATTATATGTGATACTATTAATATTTTTATGCATAGAGCTTTATTCATATCCCTACTTCCTTAGAATAGATTCCTAAAAGTTGAATTGCTGAGCCAACAAATGTGAACCTTTTCAAAGTTCTTAATACATATTGCTTAATTGTAATATATATTCCTCATCAGCTTTGTATGAGCCTGCCCATTTATTTCACTGCATCCTCATCAGCATTGGGTATTATTTTGGTCTTTGGTTTTTCAATTTTTCTAATTTGACAAGCAAAAAAAACTGGTATGTTAAATTGGTTCTTAAAGTTTGAAAGCTGATGTCTTTTTTTTGCAATGAGTATCTGTCAAACCGTCTCAGGAAAAGACATGGACAGAAGCTTCTTGTGCAGTCAAATGTCTCTATTGAAAGGTAACATGTTCAAATTTAACTGGAATAATAAGCATAATAGGAATAAGAGTAAATGTAACCAATAACATTAATTTCCTAATAGTACTTTTTCCTTTGTGGTGCTTTCAGATTGAGAAACTGGATGCTCGAGGGATCCAGCTTGCTGCCCTCTTCATGAGTGGGGTTGACACAGCTCTGTTTGCTAATGATGCCTGTGGCCAGCCAGTCCCTTGGGAGCACTGCTGCCCCTGGATTTACTTCGATGGCAAGCTATTTCAGAGCAAGCTAATTAAAGCAGGCCGAGATCGAGTATCCCTGATTGAGCTCTGTGATGGCCAGGTACCAGCGTGTTGGGCAGCTGCTAAGAGTCATTTCTGATCCGCTTGTGGGACTGAATGGGCAGGGAGGGGAGAGACATTGAGAAGGAGGTAGCAAAAGGGGGAGAATGTATTTGACCTTGACCTAACTTGGTAGAGGATAGTCTCAAAGGCCCAGAGGCTGATGTACATTTATAAAATGATGTGCTGGAAACCTTTTTTTCTTCTGTTTTTGTTGTTTTTTAAAATATATTTTATTGATTATACTATTACAGTTGTCCCATTTTCCCTGCTTCACTCCTCTCCCACCTGCACATTCCCCCACTTTAGTTCATGTCCATGAGTCATACATATAAGTTCTTTGGCTTCTACATTTCCCATACGATTCTTACCCTCCCCCTGTCTATGTTCTACTTACCAACTATGCTTATTCCCTGTACCTTTCCTCCCTCTCTCCCCCTCCCTCTACTCTGTTGCTAACCCTCCATGTCATCTCCATTCCTGTGGTTCTGTCCTTGATCTAGTTGTTTGCTTAGTTTGCTTTTGTTTTTGTTTTAGTTGGGGTTGTTAATAACTGTGAGTTTGCTGTCCTTTCACTGTTCATATATTTTTTATCTTCTTTTTCTTAGATAAGTCCCTTTACCATTTTTATATAATAAGGGCTTGGTGATGATGAACTCCTTGAACTTGACCTTATCTGGGAAGCACTTTATCTGCCCTTCCATTCTAAATGAGAGCTTTGCTGAATAGAGTCATCTTGGATGTAGGTCCTTGCCTTTCATGACTTGGAATACTTCTTTCCAGCCCCTTCTTGCCTGTAAGATCTCTTTTGAGAAATCTGCTGATAATCTGATGGGAACTCCTTTGTAGGTGACTATCCCCTTTTCTCTTGCTGCTTCTAGAATTCTCTCCTTCATTTTAATCTTGGCTAATGTAATTATGATGTGCCTTGGTGTGTTCCTCCTTGGGTCTACCTTCTTTGGGATTCTCTGAGCTTCCTGGACTTCCTGGAATTTTATTGCCTTTGCCAGATTGGGGAAGTTCTCCTTTATTATTTGTTCAAATAAGTTTTCCATTTGTTGGTTTTCCTCTTCTCCTTCTGGTACCCCTATAATTTGGATGTTGGAATGTTTAAAGATGTCCTGGAGGTCCTAAGCCTCTCCTCATGTTTTTGAATCCGTGTTTCTTCATTCTTTCCTGTTTGGTTGTTTCTTTCTTCGTTCTGGTCCACTCCATTGATTTGAGTCCTAGTTTTTTTCCCATCACTATTGGTTCCCTGTACATTTTCCTTTATTTCACTTAGCATAGCCTTTATTTTTTCATCTAATTTGCGACCAAATTCAACCAATTCTGTGAGCATCCTAGTCTCCAGTGTTTTGAACTGTGCATCTGATAGGTTGGCTATCTCTTCATTGCTTAGTTGTATTGTTTCTGGAGCTTTGATCTGTTCTTTTATTTGGGCCGTTTTTTTGTCTTGATGCACCTGTTTCGTAGTATGGGGCGGAACCTTTGGTGTTTACCAAGATGGGGCAATCCATGTCGCTGCTTTGTGACTATGTATGTGGGGCAGGGGTCCTAAAAGGGTACAGTGGTGCTTGCTCTACTCCCTTCCGGCTTTCAGTCACTTCCCTTGCTCCCCACAAGCAAAGTGGGCCCTTCAGGTGCTGATTCCTATGTGGGTGGATTTGTGTACATTCTCAGACCCTGTGAGTCTCTCCAACAAACTCTCCTGTGAGGCCGGGAATTTCTCCCACTACCTCAACCACCACAGATGTTTTCAGTTGGCGTTTTGAGGCTTTATTTCCTGGAGCTGGGGCCCCAGGTTGCCTGGTCTGTCCTGCTCCCCAGTTTTTGGTCCTGGTTTCTCTGCTCGTGAATGTTGACCACCCAGTCTGCAATCCACTGTCTCGCTAGTCTGCCCACTGCTGCCTTGTGTTCCCCACTCCACAATCCACAGCCTCGCTGGGTCCACCAGTCACCACCTTGCCTGCCCAGGTCCTCTAGCCACTGCCTTGCCACAGGTCTTCTCTCCCCAGCTGCTTGTCTCTGCCCCTCACTAGTCTGGATGGATGTTTCTTCTTTAACTCCTTGGTTGTTGGACTTCCATACAGTTTGGTTTTCTGTCAGCTCTGGTTGTTTCTTGTTTTTAAATTGTTTGTCCTTCTTTTGGTTGTATGAGGAGGCACAGTATGTCTACCTATGCCTCTGTTATTGTTTTTTTAATGTTTTATTGTTGTTCAATCACAGTTGTTTCTGTTTTACCCCTATTGCTCTCCCCTGCCCTGCCCATCCCCCGATTCCACATTCACTCCCCTGCCCTGCGTAGTCCTTGCCCATGGGTCCTTTATACATGTTCCATAATGGAAACCTTTTTTCTTCTTAGCTTCATGTTTTCATATTACTTTTCTTACTCTTATACTAAGAGTAAGTTTTTCCTCCCAGTTTTAGAACTTTATTTCTCTTAGTTTCAAAAACTGTAAGTCACCTTTGCAAGTGATTTTTTTTTAAGGAGAACTTTGTTTAGAAATACAAGAGGGTAGTGAAGTAGATAATAGTAGAAGCAGGGATTTTTTTATTATTATTATTTATTCATTTATTTAATTATTTTTGCAATTAAACTGGGAAAGATGAGGGGAGACAAGGGACAGGAATCCTAACTTACTCCTCTATTCATTCTGGGGAGTGAGCTGAAGGACTAGAGGAGGGTTCAGCAAACTATCCCAAGTTCCAAAATTTGGAGATTTTGTTCCTTAAAGTTTTATTGGAGCATAGCCACATTAATTTGTTTGTGGGAGAATAAAATAGTTGTAGCAGAGACCATATGGCCCACAAAGTCTAAAATATTTACTATCTGGCCCTTTTCAGAGCAAGTTCATAAACCTCTAGACTAGAGACATGGACTTATTCCGGACGGGTCAGGGTGTTTGATCCTGGGTATGGAGGAGAATGTTGAAAGGCTTTGAATATGTCAGGATTTTGTTCTCTCTTTTACCTGATTCAGTTACCTCCCAGTTAAAAACTGATCTATCCTCTTGGTTGCCATATAATACACCATCAGTCAGCATTTTTGGAACATTTGTCTTTCTTGACCTAGTTAATGTGCCCCACAAGTCTTCAGTCAGAACTAGTATGATGGCAGTGCAGTGCTGTATGAAGAGTGGGGCTTTGGTGCCAGACAGGCTTTCCTGAGTGTTGCCTTGTCCATTTAACTCCAAGCCTTGATTTTCTTAATGGGAATAGACTTGTCAGACTGTATCTAGGGTGCCCAATAAACACCGTGCCTGAAACCATAGAAGTTCAAAAAATGGCAGGTGCTATTATTATTCTGTTTCTTGTCTGAAGGCTGACCTGGCAACCAAAGTGGAAAAGATGAGACAGAGTATCCTTGAAGGAGTCAACATGAACTATCCACCACCTTCTGCTCTCCTGCCGTCACCTACTTTTGTGGCTCCCATGGTGCCCTCTCTCTATCCTGTTCCACTGTATTCCCGAGCTGTGGGCTCGATGCCACTTCCCCCTCAAGGAAGGAACCGAGGGTTTGCAGGTCAGTACCTAAGAAAAAGGTATTTGTCATCCTCTATGTTTCATAATAACCAATCCAGGAATTATTGCTGGTTACAGAATTAGCAGTGCCAAATATATATTATCTCATTTATCTTCTCTACTGCATTGTGGTAGTTTTAAGAGCAGCTTATTGAGATGGATGGCTGTAGCCTGAGGAAAAAAGTCCACTGACTTCACAGACCACTCTCCATACAGGTGGTTGATCCCTAAGAATTTGACTCATCAACCGAACTCCTGAAGTAACTGATGTAGAAACCAGGAGACACTTAATTACTTTTGAGAACTATAATTTACATGAACTGGATCTTCACTGCTGGTTCGATCTCTCAGTCCCCCATTAGGCAGATGTACAGAGAGGAGCTTGCAGGAAGAGCAGTAGGAGGTGAGAGTAAAATGACCATGGTCTGCAGATGAGCATAGTGTGATGTATGTATCTACTTTCACTCAGGGGGTAGATCCCATACATTTCCAGAAGCACAGAGAGAACTAATTTACAGACCATACCCTCCAGGGACTACAGCTTAGTGGGGAAAGTACACACCCATACCCACAAACACGTATAAATATTTAAATTATGGTATGGTGACACGTGAGCTACAGGTTGATGATGAATAGACTTGTCATGCTTAGGTAACCGAGATCCTGGTCCTGGTAATGCAAACTACTTGTTTCCTGGTAAATAGGATATTTTAATGGGGACATTTACCATTAAATATTGAGATTCGATAATCATGTGGGAAGGTTATTGCTATGGGTGCTGCGATTGAAGGTATTTGTCTATTGTTCATCGCTTTATTTTTTTAAAAAGATTTTTTATTTATTTTTAGAGAGAAGGAGAAAGAGGAGAGAAACATCAATATGTGGTTGCCTCTCATGCACCCCTTACGGGGGACCTGACCCTCCACCCAGACATGTGCCCTGACTGGAAATGGAACCAGTGATCCTTTGGTTTACAGGCCGGTACTCAATCCACTGAACCACACCAGCCAGAGCATTGTCACTTTAAAAATAAAGCTGGAGCCCTCACCAGTGTGGCTCAGTTAGCTACCCATCATCCCGCAAGGCAAAAGGTCACCGTTTCAATTCCCCAGTTGGGGCACATGGCTGGGGGGCCAGGGTGCGTACAAGAGGCAACCAGTTGATGTTTCTCTCTCACATCGATGTTTTTTCTCCCTCTTTATCTCTCTCCCTAAAAATAAATTAACTAAATCGCTTTTTAAATTCTAAAAAATAAAGCTAGAAGTTGAAGTTTGAATTAAATTTTGGGTCACAGAATTCAGAATTCAGGATGAATGTTTAGCTTAAGGCTCTGGTTACATGAGTAGTATGATGTCTGCTCTGATAACTTCCTCTTGAGTCAGCTAAAGATGAAGTCCTGCAAACCAGGGAGGCAGCCATTCTTTCCATCCTTTCAAGGTAACTTTATGGCTGTCCACTCTCATTTTTTGCTTGTTGATTTTATTGTGTTTCAGAAGACAGAATTAAGGCCAGGTTTAGGGGAGGTCCTCACTATTGCCCTAGGTCCCAGTGTTAGTCTCTAGTTATGAGTGGTTTATGAGGAGTCTCCTGCCTCCTGAAAGACCACGACATCCCCCAAATGCAAGACTTTCTTGCCCTCTTAGAACTAAGTAGCACTGTAGTCCCTTAGATTCCTATTTTTATATAAATGAAGGGCTCTTTATTAATGACTTGCTACATGAGTGAAGGGTTAATAACATTTGGGTTTTCTCCATAAACTAAAATTTAGGATTTACTAGAACTCTGTATTCTATGAAGGATTTCTTTTGCGCCAAATCACAAAGTTCTACTTTGTGTGTTTGCTCACACACAGAGTTGCAGTTTCCTGTTTTAAGGTGATATGCTATCTTGTTTTGAATTTGTTCTGGCTTTAAACTGTTGCTATTCTTGCTTTTTAGTGACAAATTACTGTTTAGTTTCATTATTTTCCGTTTTCATTTGGTTGCTTGGGTAATCCTCCAGGGTGTATTGATATGTATTTAAATCAAGAGTGGTTTTGGCCTGTAATTTTACAGTAATTAGATTAAAGACATTCACTGTCTCAACAAACACTGAATGCCTACTATGTGCTAGGTTCCGTAGTTGAAAAATTAATCATCCACAGCTGACTTGTGAAAGTGGATGTGTATAGATCTTCAACCTCCTATCCCTAAATTTGCTTCCACCATGACCCTTTGCTGTTATCGTGGACTCTTTATAATAGAGAAATGGGAAAAGGCGGAGTAGGTGGGCTAGAGGATCTTTTGTTCCACCTCTTACCTAACCTTGCACTTAAATCTCACTACTGCCATTCTTCCTCTCTTTTTCTAGGCCTCCATCCAATCCCACCCCAAGGAGGAAAACTGGAGATTGCTGGGATGGTTGTGGGGCAGTGGGCTGGCAGCAGATCCTCCAGGGGCCGAGGCTCCTTTGGCATGCAAGTGGTTTCTATTGGTGGGCCAGGAAGAGGGTATGTATCCGAATAGGTTGGTATGAGCTAGTATCAATCAAAGTACCCTTGGGAAATGCCCAACTATAGAATCCTTCTATTAAGCTAAGAGGCATGAACTGACTTTACATTTTTAAAGGCAGTTTTCACTGTAGTTTAGGAAACATATACTAAATGCTCCGCCTTGATTTAAAAAAAAAAGTTTTTGCCCCTAGAGGAGGACATGGGACACAGAACACTTTAGTATGATATAAAAATGAAAGAAATATTTATAGTGGTAGCACAGAGGAGGATCATCTAACTTATTATTAGGGTCAAACTTCTAAGAGGACATGAATTGTTAACTAAGTAAAAATGGGGGTATGGGCTTTCTATTTTCCTCATGATCACTTTTCCCCCACTTTCTAAAGGTATGGAAAAGAACAGACTGGTAGAGGACCCAAAGGACCTAAAAAAGGAAATAAACAAGTAAGCACCTTTTTTGAGATTCTTTAGCTTCTGTTTGATCATTCTTATCTTTTCAGCTAAATTGCAAGAGCTCAGATTAGGTACCGAAACTTGGGAGCTTTCACAACTTCTGGCATTTGGTTTTATTCCCCTGCTCTCTAGCTGTCTGGGGAGGAGGCTTAGACTGCCTAGGCTATTTCCACAGGGCCTCAGAGTGTCATCCTTTTCATCGAGTGAAACCACGAGATGGAAACAAGGTATGGCGTTCGAAGACCTTTAGGTAGCATAATATGTGCTACATGCAGCTGTAAAGGAACCAGAGTGAAATTAACAGTGGGATTGCCAGCAATATGCCCAAGCTTGTGAGGGGCTACCAGAGATGCTTAGAAAATTAAACTTCGTTCTTTGCTGAATATGCGAAGGGAAAAGGTGTTACCATTCTGCTTATTCTTTTCTTCTTTTTTTAAGATTATTTATTTATTTATTTTTAGAGAGAGGGGAAGGAGGGAGAGAAACATCAACATGTAGTTGCCTCTAGTGCATCCCCTACTGGGGACCTGGCCTGCAACCCAGGCATGTGCCCTGACTGGGAATCAGACTGATGGCCCTTTGGTTTGCAGGCTGGCACTTAATCCACCTAGTCACCCCAGCCAAGGCCCATTCTGATTATTCTTAAAGGCTTAGAATGGTCTCAAGCTTTTTATTTATTTATTATTTTTTTTTTCACCCAAGGACTTTTTTTTTCATTGCTAGAGAAAGAGGAAGGGGGAAGAGATGAGAGAGGCATGGGGTGGGGGAAACATTGATGTGAAAGAGAAACACTGATTGCCTCCCGTATGTGCCCCGGGGATCCAACCTTCAACCTAGGTATGTGCCCTGACTGGGAATTGAACTCACAGACTTTTGGGGCTTGGGACAACACTCTAACCAACTGAGCCACACCAGCCAGGACTTAAACTTTCTCCTAATCTACACCTTGAATTACATCACAATCCCCACTGGTCTCCATTAGAAGTGCACCCTGCAGATATGAAAGCCTATTCTTGTAGTGATTTAAAGTCTTGTATTGGACTCAGACTGCTGGCTTCCTCATAATATAGCAGCTACCATTTTTTGAGTGTGTACTTTCTACCAACCCCTTTACTAAACATTTTACATGGAAGTCTCTAATCCTCACAAGGATCACTGACTAGACCACACTGCAACGCAACTTGATTGTCAGTTCTCAAATCATCTCCCCTGTATACAGCCAGACCTCATTGTATCCATCCATGTTAACCCCCGTGGTCTAATGTTTCCTCAAAGAATATAGATTTGCCTTAATGTTATTTTGAGCCAAAAAGGGAGCTAGAATGGTAAGTAACCTGCACAAAGCATTTGGTAATGCACTCCAAAGCCACGAGCAATAACTTTGGGATTTTTCCAAAGCTTCTTAGCTTTTCCCAGAAGTTTTTCAATAAGGTAAAAGGGATTACACCTAGAAGGAAAACTGATCATTAAGATAGGCTCCAGTAAAGTAACATAGCCTTGGGGAATTGACCATGATTCAGGGACTAATCATTAGGTATATAGTCTGAAAAACCTGATATGTTTGGTACAATAAGAGTGGGTTCCTTTCTCTAGTTTGCTCACATTAACCAGGTTCACAGAAATAGTATGTGGATATGGCTAAAAGAGTGGGGGGATGAGCAGGGAGAGTGTGAAATATAAAGTTCACCAACTCAGAGGGTAAAGAAATAATTACCATATTATACACTTAACTCTATCCCAGTCATTCTTACAAATTCATGTGAAGTATTTACTATTCTTTATTTTATTTTATTATTTATTTTTAGAGAGAGGGTAAGGGAGGGAGAAAGACAGGAAGAGAAACAGTGATTGGTTGCTTCTCTCATATGCCCCGACTGGGGACCGAATCCACAACCCAGGCATGTGCCCTGACCGGGAATTAAACCTGTTACTTTTCATTTTGCAGGACAACACCCAGCCAACTGAACAACACCAGGCAGGCCTACTCTTTATTTTAAAGAGGAGGAAACTGAGGCTCAGAGGAATGAAGCATCTTGCCCAAAATTATCCATCAAGTCAGTATCAGAGTTGACATTTCAGCCTGAGCTGACTAAATCCAAAGCCATGTGCTGTGCTGTCTCCAACAGTGTATAACAACTCTAGTTGTCAGAAACAAGAGTTAGACCTTGGTGTACCTGACTCTAGTGACTATTCTCTTAGTCATGGCTACCAGAGCTTTCTTTCTCTAAGTGCAAACTGCAAGAGAGCCCATGGTATCAGAAGTTTGCTTAGGGACCTGAAACCAGAACAATGAAAGTAGCTGGCATTTAATGAATTCTTACACTGGCGAACAGAACATGTTTTGAGTGCTTTCCTGTGAGTCCCTCCTTGAACCCCTGTAGGAGCCTATGGTGCTGTTATTCTGTTTCACAGATGAGGAAACGGAGAAAACAGGGAGGGTAGGTCATGCTATGGTTCTCTAGGCTAAGATTGCTGGCAGCACTATTATCCACTCTAGAGGTAGCCTGGTCAAGGAAGTCTCATACTGACTTTGTTCTTAGGTAAGACATCTTCCCTGGACAGAGCAGCTGTTGATTGCCTTCCTAACTCTCCTTTTTCTATTCAGTCACTCTTTCTTCAGAGTGTAATATAATTCGTTGCTCTAGTTTATTAAATCTGTTTATATTGTCCTCTCTTCTTGAGAATATTCCTAGGTAACTGGAGTTTTGTATATTTTCAAATTCTTAAGTCACTTATTTGTAAGGTTTTACTTCCTTTGTTGACTCCCTCACATGGCTAATTCCATCCATTGTGTGGATTTTTACTAGTTTCTTCTTTTCTCCAGGTTCTTGAGCAACAGCCACAGTAGCCCGCATGTTGTACTAGCTTTGAAGCCAAATGATCTGGCTTTGAATCTGGCTCTGCCACTGACTTTGGACAAGTTATTTAACCTCTCTGTGCCTTGGTTTTATCATCTGTAAAATGGAGAAATTGGTGTCTACCTCAGAGAGTTAAATGAGATTATATTTGAAAGTGTTTAGCATAGAGCTTGAAATATAGGAAATACTAGGTACAGATTAGTAGTTATTATTTAAAACTAACCACCAATTCAACAGGAGTTAGAGTGCCGTTCTGTGTTGTATCATAGTGGAAAGAACAAGGTCTTTGGCATCAAACAGACTTGGACCCAAGTCTGAGCATGTGAATGACATTGGGCAAGTCTTTTTACTTTTTTGAGCCTTATTTTTCATGTCTATCAAATAAACAGCAGGTTTTCTGGCATGCCTAACTATTTAGTAATTAAGCTGTTATTATTTGCTAATAGCATTCATCTAGAGGCAGCACTGCACCGCAAATTAAGGCAGTTCATGTCATTAGCATTTCAACAACAGTCACGTTCCTGGAATGAAAAGAAAAACAGGTGACGCTTCTAGTTATGAAAGATTCTAAGGAATATTGCACATAGACCTCATGGTTTGTTTTCCTTTCTTTTTTTTTAAGGTTTTTTTTAATTTTATCTATTTATCTTTAGAAGGGAAGGGAGGGAGAGAAATATCAATGCATGGTTTCTTTTCGTGTGTCCCCTGCTGGGAGCTGGCCCCTGCTGGGAACTGGCCCCTGCTAGGAACTGGCCTGCAACCCAGGCATGTGCCCTGACTGTGAATCGAACCACGATCTTTTGGTTCACAGGCCCACACTCAATCCACTGAGCTACACCAGCCAGGTGTTTTCCTTTCATTTCCTTTACATGTCCAGCTGTTGGCATTGGGCAGCATTGCATGACAGTTAAGGGAATAGACTTTAGAGGCTGATTGACCTTGAGTGCAATTCTGGTCCCACCTCTTTCTCTTTCTGTCTCTATCCGAGTATTCTTGAGCAAGTGACTTTAATCTCTCTGAGCTTCAGCTTCCTCATCTATAAATGGGGCATAATAATATCTACCATTTAGGGTCCCCATTAGTATTAGAAAAATATATATCATGAAGTTTGTAAAATGCTGGCTGTATCATTATTGTGCTGTCATTGCCATTGGATTTCAGTCAGATCCATCTGTTGTCACCCTGAGTTGTCCGGGTGATATCGGAGTGTATCAGATGTTAACAAGCATTGGACTTTTGGGCTTCTTTGAAGAACTCAAGCAGTTTCTGCAGGCTAATTTATGAACATGCTTGGGAAGGGTCAGCCAGTTTGGGATTACCATTTCCACTGAGTATTTCTATTTTTCATACAGGGCATTTCAGATGGAGTTTCTAAGTCCCTGGAGCCTCATCAAAGCCACTCTTGCTCACAGGTAAATGGAAACAGTGGCGCATTGATCAAGGAAGAGAAGAGTGAAAATCATCTTCCCACTCCATCACTGTGTGCCTTATCCAGAGACAGCAGCGTGTGTAATAATGTTAACCGCTACTTCCCTGTGAAGAATGAGGAGAAGAGCCACTTGGCAGAGCAAAAGCTGGAAACTGTAGCACAACAAAAAGAGGAATAAGCTGCAAATGGATTTACCTGATCAGGAAGAAGGGAAAACATATACTTATCTGATTTTAGGCCCAAGTTAGAGGAGGACATAAATGTTTACCCCAGATTTAGCCAGGATTTTCTTGGAATGTTGTATTTTATCCATCTTTTTCCCTTCCCTGTCTTTTTTGGGGCCTCCAGACCTAGCAGATTGCTTCTGGGGAAGATCTGGTCAAAAAGGAATGGCAACAAGACTGGCTCCTTTGTCACGTTTAATGTTAAACACCAGTATTCTGTTTACCTCCCCTGGAAGCCTAGTAAGGTAGCAACTGTAAGAAATTGGTGTCATCACATACGGCCCTATGTGAAAAGTTCCACCTTTGGTTTTGTGAGTCTTCATCATGATTCCTATTTATGAAACCCATGGGGTAGTAGAGACAGCTGCCTATGGCTTCCTAACTTGTCTTTTGCTCTATGTAGTAGTGGGGCCTGTGTCTATAATCAGTACCCACCTCCTCACTCTTTCTCCACTCACCAACCCCAGGAGTTTATACCATTGCCTCTGGCGTTGGCCTGACAATCAGATAGGTAGATGTTTTCAGAAAAGTGAAATAGTGTTGGTTATTTTATTTCATTTCTTTGTTTTTATTTTATACAGTTAAAAAAAACAAAAACAAAAACAAAAACTACCAATGGCCTTTGTACTAGGGGATTCAAGTGAGTCAGAAAAGTACTGGGCAGATTTTTCCTGCCTCTGAACTAGTGCATTGTTTGTAAAATAGAAGATGCGGTGCAGTTTGCCCACTCCCTGCTGCCCACACCCTGAAAGGGTGAGAATCAGTGTAATGAAACTGAGTACGAAAGGGAACTCAAAAGAGTGTGTGTGTGCACGCACGCGTGCCTTTGTGTATGGGTGTGTGCGTGGATGTATATATGAATGCATGTACCTATATGCATACACATACCCTTTATATAAAGAGACAGATCTATTTATCTATGCGTATTTTATATATAAATATATGTATATGTGTGTATATATCTATATATCTACATGTAGATATATAGATATATTCATGCATGCATACATACATACGTGGTGATGTCCCAAAGGATTTACCGAATTTACCAGAAACGCTTCCACTGCTATGGAGTGGTGGGTTTCAAAAGACCACACTTTAAAATTTTTACTGAGTCATAGCCCATCACAATTATGAGAACATGGGCTTTTCTAAAACAGACAAAAAGTACTTTCCAGAGATGGCCTGTTCAGAACAACAAACGTTTGGCTTGTCACAAGCTTAATATTGAACCGAGACCTCACATCCCATATGGTGAGAACAGGAGGTTGGAATGGGATTGGGAAGATTTGGGCATTTTGTTATGAAGGAGAAGCCTGGATCGTAGAGAGAAGGAGTGGGAGGTAATGACCAGGACTTGCAGCCAATTTGGAGGGAGTGTCACCTGGAACTCCAGGATCAAACTGCCCTCAGGCTAGAATTGATTGCCCTGAATACCTGAAGAAGAGAGGACTAGCATTGGAGAGAAGAGGTAGGGAAGGAAGTGTAAGGAAATCCACAATTTGATTTTACATGCCTAGATTGTTTCACTTGTTCACATTTTGACTATTGGATCTTTTCGTTCGCTTTGCAAGGAAGACTTCAGAGGACTCTGGCCTGGACCTTAGGGGGTATTCTGTAAAAGGTTCCTAGGACTAAGAGACTATATTCCTCCTTGACAGAGATACTCTTGAGATGACCTTGCATTTCCAGTTTCCGTCTTCAGGGTCTCAGTCTGAGAGATGGGAACACAGCTTGCAACATATTAGCATTATGTCTTCATTCAAGAATTGAGGCTTTCAGCCTCACGCACCTCCTTTGGGCTTTGTGATATTCTTGCCCAAGCAGTATCGTTTTTACAGGAATTCACCTAACTAAATTTCTAGCAGGGTTCTCTGTCTTTTTTAAAAAAAACCCATGCACTTTAACCCACTGCAGGTCTCTGGTGATTTCTTTCCAGACAACCAGAAGGCCATTTGTTCATTGCCCACTTACAAATCATGTATCATGAGAGATTGAAAACAGTCTCAGACTGTTTAATCCTAGTCTGGCCCAGTTTAAGAGAACCTTCAATTTTCAGGGGTGAGGGAGCCCTAGAATGCCTCTCCCCCGGGCAAGACATTTCCTACACAAACCAAAGCAGGGTGACAGGAGTGCACACCTAGCCAGATATAACCAGGAGCAACGTGTACAAAAACCTCCTCTTTGGATCGGCTCTCTAGTTTGGCCCCCCCCTGTTCTCTTGGACCTGCCCAACCTTTCACACCATCTTGGGGGTTAGAACTGCTGTACCCAGCAAGAGAGGGATTTAGTAGTGAACTTAGATGGCTTGGAAATTTCTTTCTGGAGCCACAGAGGGAGGAATCCTTAGGAGCTCGAAAAGTAAGCCAGTCACTGAGCTGTGTTAAATCTATCTAGATCTCCATTTTCTTATATGGACTACTTGGAGTTGTATGGAAAAGTATTTTCTTCATTTGCTGTTTCTGTGCATCTTGAATCTATTTGCTACAATCAAGTGACAGTATTGTTAAGTCTCACAGCATTAAGAAGATTTCTTATTTTGTAGACATTCACTGTGAGAAGTACAATTGCTGCTTTGACAGGGATGATTCCAGTTTGTCAAAAGGCTTGCTTTTCTCCCTTCCACAAACCTCCACTTTCTCCTAGACTGGCCCAGGGTGAAACAAGTGGTTCGCTTCCAACCTTGATTTTTATTTAGATTCAGCATTTCGGGTTTGGAGGATTATAAAAAAGAACCATAAAGGGCCATGTTCATATATTTTAATTTATCTGCCAAAATACACAATTTAGAAGCTAAAAAGACTGAGGTGTTCATTACTGGGACAGGAATATTTTTTTAACTGGAGGACAAATTGGTGAAGGCAGATCTGAGCTTTGCTCTGAGTACCACTTGAAGAGACTGTCATCCTTCACTTGAGGTTCCATTTCTGATGATGATGTGGCCTCTCTCAAAGAAAGTCACATAGGAACCTGAGACATGACCCTTTTACCTTGTAGGGCCACAAGCAAAAGCCCCCTGATTGTATATAGATGCTGATCCCCAAGGATTTGCAGTTCCTAATTTCTGCTGGTGTGCCTTGGGATCAGCTGTGACTCCCACCCTTATTCAGTGGCCAGTCTGGTCTGGACCAGGTCTGGCAAACTTCCGCTCAGTTGCATCATATCATTCTGAGCCAGTAAGACTTCGAGTAGACTTTAAAGCCCAAGAAATGGCACTTGCGTTATCGAGTGACATGTAATTTTTATCTCTATCTGGATTTTCTGGCATTGTTGGCCAAGTCACGTTAACTTTTTTTGGTCACTGAGAAAAACAGCCAGACAAGGCATTGGGGAGGATAGTTAAGGTGGGGAGAAGAGGAATACTTAGGTAGAGTAGACAGAATGTGGAAGTCACTGCTTGGTTATAGTGATCCAGTCCATTCGAACCATAGAAGGCTCCAGGTGGGCATATCAGTGCTACCCTTTGAGCCTCTACGACCCTCCCCTCCTTTGAAATGACAATACAGGTAGACCACATTTTAAAGTAGTTAATGTAATTCTACTAAGATTTAATCATGATACTTATTCACTTCCTGATGCATATTTCCTAAATATGCATGGGGTGTGGGGGTAGGGGGTAAGTTTTCACTGTTCCATGATGTCACCCTATATTTTTCTCCCTCTTGTGACTTTGGCATTTTCTTTTGACTTTCTATTTTCTTTTCCCTTGGCTTATTGCAGTAGTCTGCTGGTGTAGGTAGAGCTCAGTGTACCTATTCCCCTGTTACTGATAATTATCTTCAGTATTGCCAGAGGCGGTTTTGGTGTTCTAAGAAAGTAACTTCATTTTTCACAAAATCATCGTTACCAAGTTAAAAGCAAAATAAAATAATTCCTTGTGCTAGGGCGCCCATTTCAGGCTTTGACATTGCCCTTGTACTTTTATAGATGCTTTTTGCCCGTGTTGGTAGTAACTAATGAGTAGTGAATTTTCATGTAAGTGACACAAATCAAATATTTCAGATTTTATTAATCTCATAACCCTGCCAAATCTGATGACTTCAATGATTTCCCACAAGACAGTTCCCCTCTCATCTATTATTTGATTCTATTTTTAGAATAACATACTAGGTAAAGAAACTTTAACTGCAAGGAGTTAATGGGTTTTTTTTTGTGTGATCCCTGATAAATGATGTTATTGTCAAAAGTAACAAATTCTTTCATTGTTTTTTCCTGTGTTAATATCTCCTTTGTGCTCTTGACAGTGTGTTTAGTGGATGGATAATATGTATCTCTCTTTCCCACTCCCAGATTCCAAATTCCCTGCCTTTTTGGCCCACCTCACAACAAAAGCTCCATAGTTGTTTAATGTAAGTTTGAATGGATGCTTCTTAGGGGAAACTGCAGCAGTTAAATGGAAATGTTTCAGAAAGGAATGAAAATGTCTCAGGAGTTGTTCTGTGATGGAAATTGGTTTGTCATTCTGTTAATGTGATGGAAAGAAACTTACAGTGCTTAAGAAAAGTTTATTCTTTTATTCAGTAAAAAAATTGTTAAATAATTTTGGGTGTGTGAAGTTTAATTTCTTCTCCCACTTCTGGATCTTATTCAGCAAATGCAGGATATAATTGTCTCAATGCAGAACTACTGGCCAGAGACTTGGAGCCTATTTGTAGTTGAATATCAGAGCATGAGAGCTAGTATAAGAATCATCAAAAGGAAGGGCATGTTTTGCTTCCTGCTGAACTTCTTTGGATGTTCTAAAGGCAGTTTTGACTTGGCATTTCCCAAAATGACCCCATCCTGTCTTCTGAAGCCTACTTCTCTCCGTGAATGACACTACCTTCTACTCAGTTGTCTAAACCACACACCAACAGAGTTATTCCACACTCAGGACTTTCCTTCATCTCTCAAATCATGACAAGCTCTCTGTTGATAACACTCAGCCATCTTTCTATTTCTCACATCTGTGTCTTTTCTATCCCTGCTGCCGTGGCTTAGTCTAGGCCTCCTCGTGTCACCTGAATTGTTGCAGTTGCTCCCCTGTCTCCCTATCGAGGTAATAGTAAGAAACATTTTGTGTCTAAGTGTATGTACCTTTTCCTAGTGAAAGGGCTCATTCTGTTCAGGTTCGCTTTTAATTTTATGTTTATTTTTTAGAAAGGGAGGAAGGGAGGGATAAAGAGAGGGAGAGAACCATCAATGTGAGAGAAAAACATTCAAACCCCCAACCCAGGCATGTGCCCTGACTGGGAATCTAACCAGTGACCTTTCACTTTGCAGGATGATGCTCAACCCACTGAGCCACACCATAGTGCTTAAAAAGAAAAAAAAGAAAATATTTTTAAGGTTTATTTTATTTTTATTTGCGAGAGGAGAAAGAAGGGAGAGAAACACTGATTGTCTGCCTCCCTCATGTACCCCCGTGGAGAACTGAGCATAGGAGAGCCTGCAACCCAGGCATGTGCCCTGACTGGGAATCCAGCCATCCACTCTGGTTTACACCATGCCTCTCCAACTGAGCCACACCAGCCACAGCCAGAACCACTCTTTATTTCTGTGTGTGCTATAATACTTTTTTAAACTATGTTTTATTGATTATGCTATTACAGTTGTCCCATTTTTTCTCCCCTTTCCCCTGCGCCCTGTACCCCCTTCCCTTTAGTATTCCCCCTCCCCCCTCACTTAGTTCATGTCCATGGGTCATACATATAAGTTCTTTGGCTTCTTCATTTCCTATACTGTTCTTAACCTTCCCCTGTCTATTTTGTACCTACCGTTTATGCTGCTTATTCCTTGTACCTTTTCCCCCATTCTCCCTCTTCCCCCTCTCCACTGATAACCCTTCATGTGATCTCCATTTCTGTGACTCTGTTCCTGTTCTAGTTGTTTGCTTAGTTTGTGTTTTTGTTTATTTTAGGTTCCTTTGTTGATAGTTGTGACTTTGTTATCATCTCACTGTTCATAGTTTTTGATCTTAGATAAGTCCCTTTAACCTTTCATATAAGGGCTTAGTGATGATGAACTCCTTTAACTTGACCTTATCTGGGAAGCACTTTATCTGCCTTCCCATTGTAAATGAGAGCTTTGCCGAATAGAGTAATCTTGGATGTAGGCCCTTGCTTTTCAGGACTTTGAATACTTCTTTCCCACCCCTTGTCTGCAAGGTTTCTTTAGAGAAATCAGCTGCGAGCCTTGTGAAAATGCCTTTGTAGGTAACTCTGTCCTTTCCTCTTGCTCTTTTGAAGATTCTCTCCTTATCTTTAACCTTGGATAATGTAGTTATGGTGTGCCTTCATGTTCCTCCTTGGGTCCAACTTCTTTGGGACTCTAAGCTTCCTGGGATTCCTGGAGGTTTATTTCCTTTGCCAGATTGGGGAAGTTCTCCTTCATAATTTTTTCCAAATAAACTCCATTATTTATTTGTGTGTTTGTTTGTTTATTTATTTATTTTTAGAGAGAGGGGACGTGAAGGAGAAAGAGTGGGAGAGAAACATCAATGTGTGGTTGCCTCTCATGTGTCCCCTAATGGGGACCTGGCCTGCAACCCAGGCTCGTGCCCTGACTGAGAATCAAACCTGCAACCCTTTGCTTCACAGGCCCGTGTTCAATCCACTGAGTTACACCAGCCAAGGCTAAACTCTCCATTTCTTGCTCTTCCTCTTCTCCTTCTGGCACCCCTATGATTCAGATGCTGGAACATTTAAAGTTGTCCCAGAGGTTTCTCAGACTCTCCTCATTTTTTTTTTAATTCTTGTTTCTTCATTCTGTTCCAGTTGGATGTTTATTTCTTCCTTTTGTTCTAAATCATTTATTTGAGTCCCAGTTTCCTTCCCTTCACTATTGGTTCCCTGTATATTTTCCTTTATTTCACATTGTATAGCCTTCATTTCTTCCTTTATTTTGTGACCATACACACAATGATTTCTGTGAGCATCCTGATTACCTGTGTTTTGAACTCTGCATCTGATAGGTTGGATATCTCCTCGTTGCTTAATTCTTTTTCTGGAGTGTTGATCTCTTCTTTCATTTGGACCATAGTTCTTTGTCTTTGAGCACCCGTTGTGTTGTAAGGGGCAGAGCCTTAGGTATTCTCCAGGGTGGGGCAAGCCACTTTGCTGCTGTGTTGTGATGCTGTCTGGGGGGGAGGGGTCCGAGAGGGAGCAATGCTGCTTGCTTCCTTACTCTGCTCCTGCCCTACTTTCAGTCACTTCCCGCGCTACCCACAAGGAGATTGTGCCATTTCAGGTGCAGTTCCTGGGCAAGTGGGCTTCTGATTGGTTGTCATCCTTCTTTTATTTGTGTGAGGAAGTGAAGCATATCTACCTATTCCTGCATCTTGGCCAGAACTCCAGAACCACTGCTTTAATCCAGCCATGCTTATTAGCTTCCACAGTAATCTGTCCTTTGCACATGCTTCACGCGTCCCTTCCATGGCCCCTTCATGATGTGGCCCCTTTCTGCTTCTCTAGCTCATTTGCAATTACCCTTTACCCGACTAGTGACACTAAACTGTGTCCCATAAACATTAAGCTGTTAACATCCATTTCTTTTCATTTGCTTATCCTATTGTCTAGTGCTTCTCTCCCCTTGTCTCTGCTGCATTGACTTGCCCCCTCCAAAATTTAGCTGTATGTTTTTGTTTGTGATTCTTTATTTTCCTGATACTTGACTAGGGATCCTTGTACATACTTATCAGAGCTAGTCCCTATAGAACTTTGCTGCATCTCTGTCCCTCAATTACATGTGGCTATCTCTGTGGGGTTTTTTTTTTTTTGTCTCTTTGACACCTACCACCCAGTATGTACTTAGTAAATGTTCGATGACTAAATCAAGCAGAGGTAAAATAACTGAAAATGCTCCCTGGTGCAAAACAGTATAGATTTCTGAGGCAGAGGACATGTTGATGATAAAAACACAAGATTGAATATGAAGGAATAGGGCTGGATGGTATTCATATAAATGTGCTTTTAGCCCTGGCTGGCCTGGCTCAGTGGATTGAGTGCTGGCTTGTGAACCAAAGGGTCACCAGTTCTATTCCCAGGCTAGACCACAGGCCTGGCCTGCGGGCCAGGTCCCCAGTGGGGGGGGGGGCACATAAGAGTCAATCACACATTGATGTTTCTTTTCCTCTCTCCCCCTCTCTAAACATAGATAAGTAAAATCTTTTAAAAATGTGTTTTTATTGAGGCTCTGAAAAAAAATTGAGCTCTGAGTCACCTTTGACAATGGAGGGATGCTTGGAAGAGTCTGAAGCCAGGACCCTGGGGCGTTTCTTACCTTACAGCTCCTGCTGAGTGACACTAACTGGGCATCACCCCCCCCCCCTTACTGCCCTGGGCCTTACTTATCAGTACAGGTTGCAAAAAGAACAGCTGAGCCCAAAGGTTAGTGTTAGAGGCTTACTGAAGCTTGTAAACACTTTACCCTTAAATGAAACTTTATTATTCGTGACATAATTTGTTTTACATTCAGTTCATTATGGCTATAGCTGTCTCGTCTGAGCCTTTGATCTTTGGGTGTTAGAACTCAGAATTTAGTAGTAGAAAATTTTTAGCACTTGCTTTTTAAATTTACCATTAATTGAGGACCCATTAGTTACCAGGTGGGGTTTTATGCTCTTGTACAGTATTTCTACTCCTCAAACAACTCTGCAAAGTAAGTACTATCCCCACTTTACATATGACCACAGTGATTCAGTGGTGCCCGAGTGCACACAGAGCTAATAAGTGATAAAACCAGGGTTCTAAATTTAAGTTCATTTTGACTAAGTAGAGAACTTTGGTTTCTGCCTGCCCAGCATTCTTTCCTCTTTCTGGCAGTGAAATCCAGTTTTCTTCCTATCTTGGGGTAAAGGTGGGTTGACCATCAGTCACATGGCTTCACCTTCCCCAGTGGGTTGGGTATATGATCCAAGCAGAGTGAATTTTATGGCTTTTGTGTGGATTTGAGGGAGAAAATGATGAGGAATAAAAATCTCTCTTTTAAAACCATGAGCATAAAGAATAATGCGAGCCTAAAACATTACCTTCTATTTGCATCTTCTACAACTAGTCTTTATTTGTGTATGAGAAATATGAAAATTCCATAGAAATTTATTAGGAGTAGATGCAGGAAGTGATCTATTGAGGGTTTACTATGTGTCAGAGAGAAGACTAGGCACTTTATATTACATGTTGTATACATTTTCATTTCATTCGGTCTACATTTATAACCTCTAGAAGAGGGGAGTATATCAATCAGGATAGACTTGGTATTTTGTTTGTTTTTTAAATCCTCATCTGAGGATATGTGTGTTGATTTCAGACAGAGGGGATGGGGGAGAGAGATATCAATGTGACAGGAACATTGATTGGTTTCCTCGCATACACCCCAACCAGGGATCCAACCACAACCCTTTGGCATATGGGACAACGCTCCAACCACTGAGCCACCTGGCCAGGGTGAGAATAGGGTAGGTTTTGCTGCAATACTAACCCCCAAATCTCAACCTAGCAAAGGCATGTGACCAAAATGCATGCTGACTCTTAAAGCTTAAAATGCCACAAATCACTTTTGTCTC